ACCGGAAGCATGAAACTGTACAAGATTGTTGCGAGCCCAATCAATGATACCCTCCAGGGCTTTCGTCAAAGAGGAAATCGGCTTGTCGCTCTGAATTTCTGCATGTATAGTGCTTTCGTCAGCAAAGTTGTGGATTGAGTTGATCGTACAGGAAAGGAGGTCACATGTAAGAGGAACAGACCGATCCCTGGGGAACACCTGCGTTGACGTTGTGGGATGAAGAGGAGCACCCGTCAATTATGCCGGTTATCTTGCGGCCAGAGAGAAAGTCAACCATACTGCCTGCCGCTAATCCAGCCGTGACGTACGAGGTTGTCCAGAAGCTCGCGATTTATGCACCTCTCCATCACCTTACTTGTAACAGAAAGCAGAGCTATAGGTCTGTAGTTGTAAGGGTCGATTTTAAATCCTTTTTTTGGATTGGTTGGAGGTGAGCAAATTTCCAGTTTTCTGGGAAGGTGCCGGGTTCGTAAGATATCTGGAAAGGACGCGAAAGAACTGGAGCAAGTTCCACTGCACACCTCTTCAATACAACGGCAGGACCAGAACATAAAATCACTATATTTGAAAATGGCGAGCTGGCAGGCTGTCAAAGTTGATCGTTTTGTACATTAAAGCTTAAAAACCAATCGTCAAAACGCGATAGTATGTTATATACATCTTATTCTATACCTGAATATTTAATAAAATATGGCATATTCCAACTTAATATAAATGTTGTCAAAATCTATAAACTTTTTGAATGGAATGTCGTTTACTTCACATTCCGATATAGCCCAATTGATTTCTGCTACCCTGATGGGGGAGGTCTGGATGGTGATTAGGTCAGCAATATTTATTTTTTTACTTTTTCGAATTATCTAAAATATTTAGTAGATTTTGATGTGACAACACTACTTGCTATGTTCGAAAGCGAAACGCATCTTCAGATGTTCCTGAAATATCGACACGCTTACTCGTTTGGAACTTTAGCTACAAATGCTCCTGGTAGAAATGCATATAACCGAGTAGAGCACAGAAAGAATCGCTCCTCTCAGTCGGCTTGTTTAATATTGCCTAATGACTATTTTGGATATCATTTGGATGAACGTGACATTACATTTGAATATTCAAGTATTAAGTTTGCCGGAAATGTATCAGCACAGGTATGGAGTTCAATGGGATCTGATGGTTACCATGTTACTGCAAAGTATGCAATGTCGGGCAAACCAGATCTTCCTCATTTTTCAGACATTAAATGGTATTCAGAATATCTAGGTGAAAGTCAATACGTGCTTCAAATTGTAAAATGTACCAAAATGTTTACGTTTTCGAGCACAGAAGGAGGGGGTATGAGATTTGCTTACTTTTGCTGACAAGTTAATAAATGGAAAAAATATGTTTACGTAATACTTAACGACCCCTGAAGGTTTAATCCATTTTATCAACTTTTGTTGAATTAAGTAGTTGTTAAGTTAAAGAGTCAATACATTTGCGTAGGTGGGGGATTGCTCCAGCGGCCCCATATTCATACAAGGTATGTTTTTCATATTGAAGCAACACTGCGTACTTTTGAATCTTTGTTACGTTTAGGAACTTGGATGTTTTTATATATTTTAATAAATGTTCATATCCTATATCAATCTTGTTCTCTTGAAAGGCTGTATCTGAAGATATAATAAAATATGGAATATTCCAACGTTATAAAAATTGACAGAATCTATCAACCTTTTGAATGGAATGTCGTTTACTGCACATTCAGGTTGTCCCTCGGATATACCGTTCCAAAGATTGATACAACAGCATTCTGATAACTATTTTTTTAATTACGTATATAAGCGATTAAATGTATAAAAACGGTCAATTTTGACAGCCCACCAGTCCCATATTTTAGGAGATAGTACTTTTATACTGTAGGGTTTTAAAATACTATCTTCAACAAGAGGTATCATATATGATTTCCCATTTCAATTACAAAAATGTCCCAATTTTTAACGTTTACGTTAGAATACAGAATTCATGTATTGAATTCATCGTCCCGAATTTAACACGTTTTAAAGATGAGTAAGGGAGACCTTCTGAACAGCACTTGTTAAACGACAAGAGTTAGAAAATAAAATTCATCAAATGTTAAGATTTTGACAAAGGGGCGATCATTCAGACTGTCATCATTACCATGCCTAGCAATACTATCATATTTTGTCACATTCCAAAAATATGCTTTTATCTTAAAAAGTAAATTATATTTTCAATTCCAGCTGCTTTATCAGTTTCCCTATGATCCTTAAGAATATACTTCTACAATTTTTTAGCATGCACAGGTCTTTTCATTTTATGCATGCATTGAATAAACATTCTCAGACATATATCACTTCAACCAAATACAAATAGATGCCAAATGTGATAGTAACGTTTAAATTCAGTGCCAAAATTGCGAAATTATTTATTTTCACAAATCAAGACCAAAGATTATTGACACCGTTGTTGATCTAGAATCATTAATATAGATAATGTATGCTGTGGCTGCAGCTAGTTACCTTGAACTTCACTTGTAAACGATAAAACAACTTTATCTCAGGCGGAATAAGGTAAATAATCAAGGCTGGGTTTTAAACGAAAGGATATAATGATAATAATCAGCAGAAGTGTTTCCGCGGTATCAAAATATTTGAGCAATTTCAGAATGTATTAAGTTTATTCTTATGATCTATAATCATACAATATGCTATCGATAGTCAAAAATATGCATGGTAGACGACTGACTATGTGAACATATTTCGACCATGAGAACAAACATGTAATGCTTTTATATCGTTCCATTGCTGATATTAACATAAATTGCTTATCAAGTCACTTCCAAATCAATCCATCAGTGTTCAATATTACATTATGCTGTAAAAACATATTTGTCAGCCTGGGCAGGTTACTGAATTTTTGAACAGTGCGACACAAATCTTATTAAATGACAGTAAATTTCATAATTTGTTTAAAACCCCTGCAGAAATTTTTCACTTTAGTCTTCACAGATGGTTTGCTGTCTTGGCGTACGGCAATCGTTGTATCCAGAAACTCGTATTACCTTCTAATGCATAAAGTAAAAATTGAACAATGTTTACTTTGAAAAATGACACCTCTTCTTTATTGCTGGGTTATTATCTATTACTACCACTAGACTAATATTAAAATGAAATAAATACATATCAACAAAATATTCGTAGATCACCTTTTACTTCACTTTACAAAAAAATACACACAGAAAGTGGTAAACTTTGCATCGTCGAAAGGTTGACAAGATTGTATATAATTACTACAAATCTTCCACTGGTTGTAAAAAGCTCAACAATGCGTATAGTCTATAAAACTCGAAGGTCTACTAAAATTGTTTTGCATTGTACACTTGCCAAGTTTGCTTTTTTGCTACCTTGATGGTTCTATCCATTTCGGCAACTTTTATGCTTCAAGGTTAATTTAAATAGTAAGCTTAGTGTAGGTGGTGGTTGTTCCAGCTGATTCATATTTATGCAAGGTCTGTGTTTTATAGCCTTTGATGCAACACATGTATGCGCACTTTTGAATGTTTGATGTTTTTATATAATAATAAATATTTTTGTAAATCAATATATATATATAGAAAATTGAAAAAAGGATGAAAGAAATGTTTGTAGTTTTTAATGTATCAAAATAGTACATATAGGATAACAATTATTATAGAAGAAAGATAAATGAAAAAGCGGATATAAAATTAAGCAACAATTCATGTCAAAATTTGTTTAGGGCGCTTAGAATTTAGCTATGAGTCCCAGATACTTGGCGTAATTACAGACGCTAATTTACGGTTTAAGGATCATGTTAGTAACATAATTTCTTTCAGTCACCAGGAATTTTTTATTTGAAAAAACGAAATTACCATTTGCAACGTTAATCTTTCAGCTATTTTGCTAAACAGTCGCCACTTTTTCACTCCCGTCTCAAGAAAAAGTCCGTCGCCAGCCCGCTTGGAAACTTGGTAACTGCTTCTTGCAACTCCTCGCCCGTCTCGAATCGTTGACCGCCTAGGTGCTCCTTCAATTTCGAAAACGCTATGTCAGAGCTGTAAGGGGGATGGGCAATGACTTCCCAGCCAAATCGCTCGATTCAGTCCTTTATTTGTTGTGAGACGCCGATCTTCGAGCAAGATTTGCTCAATCTTCGCCATAACTTCCTCGGTCTTCTGCTTCGTTGTTCATCGTGGATGTCCATGCGGCCGTCAAAGCACTCTCTTCACCATTTAAGGACATGTTGAATGTTCATACAGATTTCCCATAACTGACGATTAATTTCTATGGGTGGTAACGTTTTTCTGTGCAAAAATCGGATGACCGCACGAACTTCGCAACTGCGGTGACGGCGATGAAGGGCTCCATTGCGCATTGCTATCAGGCCATTACTGAGCCTTGCCAATAGATGCTTCTTGTTGGGATCGGTGGTGGGGAAGCCGACAAACACGACGATATTGCCAGATTTCGCCTATCATCACGCGCGGCAAAGTTAAAGCGTTGCGAAACATATTTTTGAAACAACCCTCGTACAATGATTAGAGTGCCTCATCATGCAATGGCATATTCCTCTTTCAACGATCCTTTTCTTATAATGCGGCAAGTATATCCAGCTAACTATAAAACCATGATTTTGCCTCGTTTTCGTAAGCAAGTTAGATTGTACCAGATGAATTGTACCTTGTAGTGTTCGTCTCGATTATACAACTTTGTCTTCCTATATTTTATGTCGTCTGTAATTTATTACTTTGTAAGTTTTTGATGCATAGTTTCCTGTTTAATTTGTATGGTATGAATTTTGATGTGTGAAAAGTGATTGCGAAGTAGTAGTAGTAGTTCTTAGCATTTCTTTATTTCTTTAACATCTGTTTTGTATCCTTATAATAGCTTCAGCTAAACTTATAAAAAACGCATAGGTATCTCTGACAGTTTCAACATGTCATATGTTCAAAAACTTGAGGGATATTAGAATTAAAATACGTTGTATCAGCCAAAAAATGATTGTATTTTAGAATATACAAAAATATATTTCATTCTGTAACTCTATACTAAAAGTTGAAACTAGTGTTAGTAAAGACCATCCATCACTTTTTCAGAAAAGCATTGGTCGTCAAAATCCAGATATTTCCCAGACGCTTGGAAAACTTCCATTATTCAAATACTGTAAATACACAAAATGGATAAATATCCGAAACCGAAATCTGCAGTTGCATGTTGATACCAGACGGCTAACTACTTTTGGATGAAATATCGATGATTAACTCCAATTTTGCTACTACACTTAGCGAGTAGTAGTAGTAGTAGTAGTAGTAGTAGTAGTAGTAAGTAAATATGATCCAAAATTCTTTATTGCGATAGTAACGTATGTTATATAGCAGATGAAAATATTTGTTATGTTATTAATTATTCGTAAAAACGCAGTGCTGACCTATGGCTCTTAGAACGTATTGTCTCTATCTGACGGTCACTCTCTGTCTTCCTCATATCAACATCAACATAGGTTTTCAGAATCTGAAAAAGGCATCTAATTAGGAACATGGATAGTACAAGAGTAACTTACGTTTTTAGCATGTTGTTTTTTTGCCATTCCACACACAAATTATTTAAAAATAATACTTTGGGGTTTACTCGTTCATGAGTTTTATCAATACTACAGACATACCTCATATTTCTAAGTCATCTTCTTCGTTTCCTGAGTTTTATGCTATAGTAATAAAAACAACATGTTCACCTCTCATCATGAGTTGACATACTTCTCTTGAACAGTTCTCCAACTTTTTATCGGTCTCATGTTGTGCGACTCTTATGTCGGGTGGCCTAATTTTAGTTTTGGGCTTTTTAGATAGCTCAACTGTATCTGGAAAAAAATTAATAAAATCAGAAACAGTACTTTTTTATTCATACTTTCAAGCATAACATGATTATGTTGTGCGAAAATAACTGAAGTATGCTCGTTTTGACTTTCTGTGAAACTACACAACTTAAGAGATCTATACTTTACCTAAGGCCGGCACCTTTTTTAGTCTTTTCCTTGTCCAGTGTTCCTCAACTTCCTCCAACAGTAAGTTCCAATGTTTATCAAATGCCAGCAAGTAAGCCATACAGAAACCCCTGACAGACCTCTCATCTCTCGTATACACCTGTAACAATAAAAAACAGGATTGAGATTAAAAGAAAGGGATATAGAAGATTTACTTCAACCCTCAGTCATATAATAAAAGGTTTTTCGATATTAATGACGTTATCCAAAGTTTTTTACACTATGCCTTAGCTAAGGAGTTACTTGTATGTTGTCTGACAATGGGGATCTTTTAAGAAATATGTCATCAAATATTTGTTTTCAAAAGTTAAAATCTGATTAAAAGCGAAATGGATGAACTGTTATTATATTGTTTGTTTTTTGAGCACCACACCATATTTTCAAGTCCTACAAATATCTTTAATTTTGTGAAATGAGAGTTTGTTTTTTATATTTATTTATTACCTCAGTCAGAATTGGGACTAAATATACAGGGTGTTTCAAATTGGACCCTCACCATTAGGATCTCGGTAACTGTAAGAGATACGAAGTCGCTTAAATGGGGCGGAGTTTCATATTTTAAGTAATCCACAAAATGTCGCTTACACATTTTTGAAAAATTCAAATAACTTCCAGAGAGACATGGAAAACCGAAATTACCCAAAAATTTTTCCTGACTTTATTTGTAGTGGGATTTCAAAATAAATTGAGCATCAACATTGTCACTTTTTCTCCTCTACAATATGGCATAATTAGAATTTCAATATGACGTTTTATCTCTTGTCCTCCAGCGTCACCTTTATTTTTTATTATAGACGCCATATTTGATTTTTGTACAGATGAATAGAGTTTCCAGTTCTGATTTCAAAAATGTATTATATGTCATACATTAATGTTTGCAAACCTTAGTCATTTGTTTAGCCTACCCGATTTATCCCAAAATAATTTTTATTCTTTCTCGACTTCATTTGAGATGGGATTTCAAAATAAATTGTACATTAACATTGCCACTTTGGTTCCTCTACAAGATAGTTTAATCAGATCTCCAATATATAACGTTTCGTCTTTTGTCCTCCAGCAATAACTTTATTTTTCTTATTGACGCCATATTAAATTTCTGCGCATATTACTAGAGTTTTTAATTCTGATTTCTGATTGAATATGTCATACATTCACATTGCCAAACCTTAGTTATTCCAGAAAAACAGAAGCTCCTAGGTAGGCCATGAAATAATCAGATTTCATTTGTTTCGTATACCAAACCAGACCTCAAATTGAACACACTAACATAATTTGGAAGACTGTGAAGAAGATAGATGAATCGAGCAGTGCACAATGTACAGAGAAGACTCAGGCTTTGCCTAAAAAATAACGAACATTTTCCATATCTGCTATAATTTACCACTGCTTATTATTGTTGTTATCATCAATGAAATCTTCAATTTGTGTTCAGGTTTCCTCAAACCTATTTATTTCTTTATAATTTTCATCGAACAAGAAACTCATGGCCAACTAAGGAAATACATCACTGAATATAGGAATGAAAACATAAGTGATTTTGGGAAATATGGTATGCGAAACAAATGACTATCTGATAATTTCAAGGCCTACATAGGAAATTCTACTTTTTTGAAATAACTAAGATTTGACAATGTCAACGTATGACGTTTATACATTTAGGAATCAAAAACTCTATTCATCTGTGCAAAAATCCAATATGGCGTTCAGAAGAAAGTTGGTGCTGTACGACATGGGACGAAACATCATACTGAAATTGTAATTATGCCTTCTCGTAGAGGAGAAAAAGTGGACATGTTAATGTGCATTTTATTTTGGAATCTCACTACAAATAAATTCAGGAGAAAATTAAAACGATTTTTTTCTCTCCGCAAGTACTTTGAACTTCGCAACTTTCTAAGCGGCAATTAATTGATTACCTAGATTCGCAACTTTGCCCTCATCTAAGCGACTTCGCATCTGTTACATTTTCCGAGATCCCAATGATGAGAGTCGAATTCGAAACACCCTGTATTAAAATTTCATAATTCTACAAAATCATGGCCGATTAAAAAGTACTAATCTGCACAATCTGCACTTTCATTTTTATAATAGTATCAGCTTCATCGCAGTTTCGACACTTACAACAGATATCCATGATTTTATATCTGAAATTTATTTTTCTATAGTTTATCCCATCCCGATACATTTTTGCAAGCCTGCATTATAAGTATTTTCGCTGTGGTTCTTATGGCGATCTCAGCATTCCGGGTTTGAGAAAACATATAAGATTTTGCAGTATCGTGCATGCGTCACCCGCGATACGTCATGATAGGATTTCTCTCAGTTAGCCGTGGTGCAGGCTGTGCAACGATGTAACCAACAAGGTGGGAGAGATGGAAGGGAGCCTTGGACCGAGGTCTTACAGAGGCCGACTGACAAGGTTGTAATGCGGTACGAACACCGCGGTCGGGCGGAACTGCTTGCTATCGGTGTGCGGTGCATTGCTGCACTAGTAAAAACGGTCAAAATATGATGATGCCATGATGATTACCATAAACCAGGTGTAAAAGTTTACATGGTGGAAGACGTTTCGGGAACACATCTGATTTTATGGGAATTTTTAAATTTATATGTTGTTTATGAATCTATTGCCACATCGCCTCAAAAGAAAATCTTGTTATAATATTTTCTACATCGGTAGTCACAAGCGTCTTATTAGAAATGATTCACATTCTGAAATGAAGGAAAAGTGGATAATAATTTCAAGCACATTCACTAATCAAGTTTTATGACGTGACTAAGGTCCGATTTCACCATTTGACAAACCATTATTTTGCACCAATAGGGTACGAGTACTACAGCCCGTCAAGTATACCCAATCAGCCTCAAGATCTGTCCGCCAAAATTTTGGCAGCAAAACAAAACACTGTAAAATATGAAGTGACAGCTTGCCATTTAAATGTTTTCAGTTTATTAAATATTATGAAATTATAAGAAACTGAGCCAAAATTAAAAAAAAATGCTTGATAGCTGAGTAAAATCCATGTTTTTCAGTTTAGCTGAAGGTTTCTCCATGTTTATTGCAACTTTCGTAATCCATAGGTCATTATATTAACTCAACATTACCTACTGGGTGATCATAGTTTATCCTACCTTTGCAAACTTGCACTTTCAAATTCTGACATGAAAAAGCCTTTTCACTGAAATTTTTGTTAGGTGTTGCGTTTCAACACAGTCATACAGTTCTTTCCAATTCCTCAACGACATTTTGACACCACTGGTCCGAACCTGTTCAAGATTTCATTCATACATTTAATTGCAGTTGCAGTTTTTTTTTAATTTCAGTGTATCCGTCGCACCATCGGTGATGGTACATGGTACACTCAACATAACCACGTATTTCGGGGTTAGTGCAGATTTAACTGTACACGACAGTGCAAGAAAGATCTTGAAGGGAGCACTTTTTATTGCGAAAATCCACTTTTCAGAAATAACACAAGTTCAAAACAACAAGTGACAAGTGACCACAAAACATAGACTGCAGTAACGTTGGAAAATAGTCCAAAAAAGGATTGGCATTTGAAATTAGTGTCTCACAATGTTAGTGATTGGAGGATACATTTGCAATCAGTGGAATGCGTTGGAACGGTTAAAAGATATGAATTGAATCATTTTTACGTTATCTCGACTGACAGACTGGAATATCTGCTCGGTTTCGGTACATATATTTTTTGAGGTATTGTTGCATAAAGCTGTTTGTTCACGAACCAGTTCCTAGAACTGAATGCAACTTAATGCACAGAACTAGAAAGCACATCACCATTTCAAGTAATCCAAGGAGGGACAAATTGTCATTTCATCGCACTAGTGATGAGAGAATCGAAAGCCTGAGATTCGCTTTGCTTCTGTGGCTCAGAGATATAGTGTTTTCTTCTGATAAAATTAGCGCAGTTTTTGTGTTTAAAGTACTCTACCTTAGTTAATACCTTTGATCCTGAAGTTGATCCCAAAACAACATTAAACAACTCTCAAGTCGTGTCGCGTGCAATAATCTGTCAATGAAGCATATTTTTCGTTTCTTTGTCCTTTTCCGTGTTACTATGATGAATCATCGAAAAGAATAATAGTAAACCACGAGCAAATAGCACGGCTGCATTCAAAGATGGAAATCGAGGCAGACAGTAGACAACACCAGCCCGAGTTGCTTCAAGTTCTGTATGTTTCTACACTGAGTGAAACACTAGTTCAAAATGCGCACCAAAAAACATGAATATATAAATTTATTCTGTTATAAGAATTTGGAGTATACACCAGTCCAACACTGGCTTCACTGAAAGTGAAAGAAAACGCGATTGAATAGCTTGGTAATATGTAACAGTTTAGACCACACAAGACTGATTTCAGTAGCTTCTATTTTGGCCACTTTCTTAGTTCTTAGTCTCATCTCACTTCAAGTTGCCACACATGTTAGATAATTTCCACTTTCCCCCGAGCCCCTGGAGCCTGTGGTTCTCGATACTTGCTTCCGAAAGATTTTTGACTCGCTTGACTGTTGGCTACGTTTATATATTTTCTGGAGATTTTCAAATCTTTTAAAGATTTTTCAGACCTTTGGATCATCGATGTCAATAAAACATTTTCATACAACACTTAAACCTGATTTCGACAGATGTTTCATGCGTGTCAGATGGAATTCTTATTTGACTATTCCTTAGTTCCTTCTGGTACATAAGAAAAATCACTTTCCCCACTTGCAGTGTGCTGAGTCACTGAGAGAACTTGATCGCAGACGGCCGCCGGTGTGAAAGGGTCCCGAGACTGTTTGTTAGAGAAGAGTCATCGATCAGTCGGACAGCCCTTCTCTGGACAACATCGAGCATAGATAGCCTAAATGAACGGCTCTTTGGCAGAACACGGCCATCCATCGGAACCGCATGAGCGCTAGGACGCTTTTTATTCGTCACGGTACAGTACTGTGTTTTCGAAGCATTACACTGTACAAGATTTTTGCGTCCCCAAGCAGTGATAACCTCCAGGTCTCTCGTCAGAGAGGAAGTCGTCGCTAATCTTCTTTTTTCCAGCTCAGCTGCAGAGATCGCCTTGTCACTCTGAATTCCTGCA